CCCCGCCCCCGCCCCCGCCCCGCACGCGCCGCACGCGCGCAGGCCCCGCCCCGCGGCCAATAAGTAAAGCCGCCGCGGAGTCCGTCTCGGCCCTGCCCCGCGCAGTCAGTCAGGTCGGTCAGCTGGTCCGCTTGCCTGTCAGTCTGTCAGCCAGCTGCGCGGCTCCGAACCTGCGACACGCGCTGCAGGAGCGGCCGGGCGGGCTCCGGTTCCCCCGGCTCCAGCCCATCGGCCTGAGGCGCCGCCGCGGCCTGCAGCCCGGCGCGCGGACCCAACCGGCCACAGCCGCCCTCCGGCGCCATGTCGCAGAGCGGGGCCCTCGGGCTGCCGGAGGAGAACCTGCAGGGTGAGGCCGCGCGGCGCGGAGGTCTGGGGCGCTGTGTGTGTGGGGGGGGGCGTCGGGGGAGGGTCGGCTGAGAGGGCGGCAAGGCCGGGGGGAGTGGGGGTCCGGGGAGGGTCGGCCGGAGGCGGGTCGGTCAGAGGGGCGGGCAGGCCGGGGGAGTGAGGGGCCGGGAGCGGGTGGGCCGAGGGGTGGGCAGGCCGGGGGAGTTGGGGGCCGGAGCGAGGTCTGGGGGTCGCCGCTGCTTGTGCTGGAGTGAAGGACTTGCAGGGCTCGGGGGCGCCGGCGTTTGAGGGGCTCCGCTCTGGTGGCGTCTGTACCCTGGAGCTTTCCGAGCAGGGCACGGACGGCTACCAAAAGCCAAACTAGGCCGTTTTATCGCCCGAGGAAGTGTTGTGACGCGTAGTGGGCAGTGCTGAGTGTTATCGCTGCGGCTTTTTAAACTCCGAGTGGACGTAGATGCCATTTGGAGCCCGCCGAGGGTGAGCTTCGGTTGTAGATGATTAAAGGACGACACGTCCAGCAGCGCAGGATTGCAGGAACGAGATGCGCTTTAGTGCAGCGCGCGTGTTATTAACCCAACGCTCCCAGTTACAAATTGTCAGACGCGGTTCAAAAAAAGGCCCCTTCTCGAAACCGCCGCGGCGGGTAGCTGGCCAGTGCAGCCCTTGGCGCTGGGCGTCCCTGGCGGAACCAGGCGCGGCGGCCAGCGTGGTTGGAGTCGCTTCTTCGACGCCAGAGGCCTGGATTGGCAGCCGAGCCTTGAGGGTGGGTCGAAAGCTTGCTGTGCCCGCAAGAGGGAGGGGGAGAGGGATGCGGATCTGGAATCAGGAGTTGATTGGATCCGACCAGGATTCTAAATTCTCCAGCTCAGGGCAACTTCAAATTCCTCCTTAAAGTAAAATCACCATGTAACGGTTGAACCTAACAGTTTTCTTTCAACATTCTATAGTTTAGGCCAATATTGGGTTAAAAAAAAAAAAACAAACTTGTTGCTGTCGAGGCGACTCCGACTCACAGCGACCCTATAGGACAGAGTAGAACTGCCCCATAGAGTTTCCAAGGCTGTGTAAATCTTCAAGCAGACTGCCACATTTTCCTGGCACAGAGCAGCTGGTCGGTTTCAACGGCTGACCTTTCAGTTAACCATGAGCCACCAGGGCAAACGCTGGGGCACAAGTGGCCTTTTTCCTTCTAGCCCTGTTTACATGATCCTGAGGGCCCTGGAGTTGGACTAGGGAGACTGGTGGCTGTTGACCCTTGTACTCTCTGAAGCAAGAGTTCTCTAAACAAAATCGGCATGCAAATAAGCTTTGGAGAGGACTGTTTAAACCTTTGATAAAGTCCTTGGCTTATTCAGATGAATTACTGAGCTGCTAATTAAATTTTCCTTTATTCCTGAAAACAAGATTTTACTAGGCAACACTTTATTAGCCTAATGTATTGTAAATATGTATTTGAAAACTATAACGACATTTTAAAAAATCTTATAATTCAGATTGTTCTTTTTAAACTTAAATATTGACTAATTGCTCCTTTGAAATAGATTAAGGGAGTTTTTTTTCATTTCTTTATTTCTTCTATATTTTCTCATAAAATAAGATCCCTGGAATGTTTGCCTTCGTCCTTTGCCCTAAAATCAGCCGTTTTCTAACTATCAAACTACTGTATTTTTAACATTGAATCTTTCACCTATTGATTCAGACCATTAGACCCCAAATTTAGAGTCTCTGGACAGAGTCCTGTGGTGGTGGTGGTGGTGGGGGCAGTTAGCTTGCCACTTGCTGTCTTACCAACCAAACTGCTGAGTCATTCGTGACACAGGATGGCCAGTTGAGGAGTTAAAAGTCTTTTGTTTTGTTTTGTTCTGCTTATTCTATAAAAAGATGGTTACACACAGTGGAAACTCACGTAAGGCTCCTTGGGGCTATTCTCTGAGTGTACGTGCAGCAGGACACTTGCTCGCCAGCCAGCCCAGTGAGTCACGTGGGAACATACAGCTGCCCTAACAAGTGGGAATCTGGGTTTGAATCAGTGGCAGCTGAGGCAGCACTTGTCCTGCTCTTTCTGATTTGATTACCTCCTTTACCCCTAAGGAGCCTTGGTGGCACGGTTGTTAAAATGCTCGGTTGCTAACCAGAAGGTCGGAGGTTCAAACCCACAAGCTGCTCCATGGGAGAAAGATGTGGCAGTCTGCTTCTGTAAAGCTTTACAGCTCTGGAAATCCTACAGGTCATTTCTACTCTGTCCTATTGGGTCGCTCCAAGTCAGAATCCACTCAACAGCAGTGGGTTTGGGGTTTTTTGGTGTCTACCTCTGAAGGGAGAACTGAGGAACTCACAGAACAGCAAACATTTCCCTCTTGGCTTGTATCCTTTGTGACCACCTGTTTTTCTGGAGGAGTTAATAGATAGCAAAAGTGATTGATGGGCTCCCTTTGTACCCCTTCGTCTATTGCAGTTAAAGCTTTTGACTAGGGGGACACTTGAATTTGCCTTTCTTTTTCTCTTTAGGTATATTACTGTGCACCAGGGGAATAGAATTTTGTGACAATATTGTGCCCCAGTAGCATTTGGGGCAGAGTGGGGGGTGGTTGTGGTGCATGACTTCGTTCCCAGAAGAACCCACACATTTCAGAGCAGAGCTTCTCGAGAGAACGTCAGCTCAATAAAGTGCTTGCCTGTTTACTCTGAGAAGGCAGAATTTAATGCCACAAGCTCCTGGCTCTTCACTTATTGCTGTATCTGCAGCTAGTCAGATGGTTCTGTTGTCATAGGCAGCCCACCATGGGTGAAACTGTATGACGAGAAATATAATTGGTATTTCTCTTGGAGGGAAATTAGAGCATCTTGCAGTTTTAGAACTGGAAGAAGCTTCAGCAGTCTAGAGTCTAAACCAACCCCTAGATTTTACATATGATCAAAATGAGACCCAGAGGTGAAATGAAAAAATAAACTTAGGAGGAAATTTACAAATAAATAAGGCAGACAGCAACAATTAAGGGAACATCAGGGACTCTCCAGGAAATGGCCAGGGAGGTCCTTGGAGCCTTCCACAGCCCAGCCTGGCAAGAGAAAGGTTGAGATGAACCAACTCCTATTGGAAGCCAGTCACCTGAATCATTTACACAGTTAATTTTATGTTCAAAGTCATCTGTTAGTTGAGTCTTTTTTGTACCTCTCCCAGTAACCTGAGAAGCTTAAATATAAAAACAACAATTTCTTAAAGCCCGCTTTTGCCAGGGAAGAAGCCCTCTGGGTGATTTTGGTGGCTTTGGTTCCCTCCAGGCTTAGTCACCCTTCTCCCTCAAACTTTTCCTCTACAGTGCCACACACATCGTGAACATACCCCACTGTTTTGTAAGTTGTTTGCGTGCTTGTCATTTCCCTAGCCAATCGTTTTCAACCCTGGCCTACATCACTATTAGCTTCTTCAGAATCTGTTTGCCTGAGTTTTCTACCCCAGCATTCCGAATCAGAATTTTCAGAGAAGGTGGGGCCGGGCTTCTGAAGAATTTTGAAAGAGCACCACAGGCTATTCCTCCTTCACAGCCAGGGTTGAGAAGTACTGCTGCAGATTTTGGTAGCCTTGAGAGGTGGGGCCCTGGGTTTACTCTGCACGAAGGACTGTGCCAGCTCTAAGTGCTTAACCGGTGTGTGCTGGGGACTGGAAGCAGGAGACAGACTTCTGCCCTGGGACATACAGAGGGCAGTGATGCCAGGGGATTCCTGGAATTGGTCACAATAGAGGTAGGAGCCGTTCTAGTCACTCGGACGACACACACACACACACACACACACGAATCCTTGTGTGGCACAACACTTAAGTGAACAGCTACTAACTGAAAGGTTGGCAGTTTGAACCCAACAGAGGTGCCTTTGAAGAAAGGCCTGGCAATCTGCTTCCAAAAGGTCATGGCCATGGAGCACAGTTCTGTTCTACAACACATGGGGTCGACAACTGGTTTTATTTACACACACACACACACACATATGTATGTAAATATATACTTATTTAACAAAGTAAGAATAAATCAAATTAAGAAATGGGTTGAAAACCCAAAAGTAAGTGAGGGGGAAAGAAGAAAACAAGGAGAGGAACATAAAATGATTCCAGGAATAAGGATTTGCCTTAGAGAAGCAACATCATTCCTTTCAAATAACCACAGTTATCTGAAATAAACTGTGATCATGAGGAGGTTTTCTAGAGTTGTTAAGCAGCCTTATACCCCATCTTTCTTACTTGAAAATATTAATAATCGTAATAATTGTAAGATAGGCTGACAGCATACATTTTCATTTTCCAGTAAATGTACTTTCTGTACATAGTAGTAGCAAGTCACCAGTAAAACTCTTGTTACTTATTAAATCATTCCTTGGAAGAAAGGTTCTAAATCATTTTATGAGGTAGCCTTAAAAGGCATGTACTTTTGTTCATGTAGTTTGAATTTCCCCCCAAACTCCATTTATGCCAGGCACCATAAGCGATCTGGGGAACACTTCAGCTTAGTCAACTAAACAGAGCCCGGCTCAGAATCGGAATAACACAGACTGAGCTTAGAAACATGGAACGGTGCTCAAGGCAGGGCCTGTGTCATTGGTTGAGGCCACTGGGCCAGAGCTGGCTTGCTTGAGTGTCATCTTGAACTCCAAGAAAGGAAGGGAGCTAACGAAGGACTCTCACGTTTCAGCTTTTGGATGAGGGGCATCAACATCAGGGTACTTGGAAATGTGTTTGGCAGCCTTGGTGAAAATGTAATCAGATATGCAGTTTCAGGAATGGTTTTGTGTATAAATAGCTCTGGAGTCATTTTAGCTTCTGCTGAAGTGCAGAGGGAGTGGCTAGGCTTTCTAGTCCAGTGAGTTGCAGGCTCCAAGACAAACACAGACTTTCCTGGGCGTCTGTGATGTTGCCAGTGCAGGTCCAGCAATTTGAGAGATTAAGAGAAAAATCATGCATATTTGAAAACTTGGTGATCATTTTGTTAGCAGTTAACTAGGAGGCTGTTTATGATGTAAACTGCAAATCCACATTTTATTCCTGGGCCTTTGGTTAGCTTGTTTCTGATTCATATGACATATTCTGCCATGTGACTTATTGAGGCTAGGCTAGAACTTTCTGAAGAGATGCCTAGTGTGTTGGAAAACCGTGCAGTCTGCCTTGGCTTTCCAGCTAACACAATGGAGTGGTTAATAGTCGGCTTCCTTTTCCTCTAATTGCATGGTGTTGTGTTGTGCCGTGTTAATGTAAGGACGGAGTAGCAGCTCAGCATGATTATTATTGTACTTAATAAAATTATAGTGACTACAACATTAGTTTATTTTGTTTTTAAATTTTCAATCTTTTGTCGTCTGCCTTTATCCTCTCCCTGCTGTAGTCTATCCTCCAGGTGCCACCAGAGTGGTCTTTTACAAACAGATTTGCTATAGATAAATAGACTTATGACACAAAATAGAGAAACCATGCTGGGCCCAGAAATGAATCTGTGATCCGTGCACACTTGATTTATGACGAAGAGGCAGCACAGAGCAGAGGGGGAAGGACAGCCCTTTCAATAAACGGTGCTGGGCAGTTAGGTTATCTGTACAGAAAAACTTAACCTCTGTTTCAGATCATACACAAAAATTAATTCCAAGTGAGTTTTAGATCTCAAGGTGAAAGTCAAAACAGTAAAGGTTTTTAGAGGTAATATTCAGTGGTTAAGAGTTATGGCTCCTAACCAAAAGGTTGGCAGTTCGAATCTGCCAGCCGCTCCTTGGAAACCCTGTGGGGCAGTTCTGCTCTGTCCTGTAGGGTCGCTGGGAGTTGGAATCGACTCGATGGCAACAGGTTTCTGTAGTAGATTATCTGCGTGACCTCAGCTTGGCAAAAGATGTCTTAAATAGGATACCAAAAAAAAAAAAAAAACCACTGAAACAAAAAGGAAGAGATGATAAATTTGACTGAATTAAAATCAAGAACTTCTGTTCATCAGAAGACATTATTAAGAGAGTGAAAAGGTAAGCCACAGAGTGCCTGCTGTCTGCTGCCACACATGTAATTGCAGTAAGGCTTATGTCTGGAATAGAGAACTCTTACAAGTCAATAGGAGAAAGAGTAAGAGATTTTAACAGTTCACGAAAGATGATATCCAAATGGCCAGTACACTTATGCTCAACCTCATTAGAAATCCAAGAAATGCAAAATAAACCACCACAAGATGCTCCTATACACCCACTAGGATGGCTACAGTTAAAGACTGAAGATACCAAGTGTTGGCATGGATGGGAGGCAACACTCACTGGTTTGTAATTGGAGGTATTGTAAATTGGCACAACTGCATTGGAAAACTGGCCACATTCCAATGCCATTGGAAAGCATTGTTTTCTAATGACATTGAACATAGACGTATTGCCTTTTAATCCAGCAGACCCACTCCTAGGAACATATCCAACAGAAATGCGTGCACATTATGGTAGGCTGAAAAATGTCCCCCCAGAAATATCCCTGTCAGATCCCTGGAACCTGTAATGTTACTTCATTTGGAAAAAGGGTCCTTGCAGATGTGATTCTAAGTTAAGGACCTTGAGATCCGTAATCCTGGATTATCCGGTCGGGCCTAACTACCATCACAGGTGTCCTCGTGAGAGACAGGCAGAGCGGGAGGTTCGACCCCACACGCGGAGAAGGCGACGTGAAGACGGAGGCAGAGACTGGAGAGATGAAGCCTCAGTCAGCGGAAGGGGAAGACGCAGCAGCAGACTCTTCCTCTGGAGGGAGCGTGGCCCTGCTGACACCTCGATTTCAGACTCTGGGTCTCCAGAGCTGTGAGAGAATAAATTTCTCTCGTTTTAAGCCATCAAGTTTGTGGTAATGTGTTGCAGCAGCCATAGGAAATTAACGTACACATGTATACCACAAGACAAGAATGTTTCTAGAAGCATTATCTGTAGTAGCCGCAAACTGGAAGTGACCCAAGTGTCTCACAGCAGAATGGATAAATCATGGTGTGGCCATACAGTGAAATTCTGTACAGTACCAACAACAACAAGAAGATAAGTACAGCAACATGGATGAAGCCCATAGACACTCTGTGGCCCCCTGTGGTCCGTGGGATTGTGTGAACCTTTGGGCTTTGCCCCTGGGCCTGCCAGCCTTCTCAGCCTCACTGCCCCCACCTTAACCCCTCAGAACCTTACCCTTGCAGCACTTTCTGGACATCTCTCTTTCGTTAGGGTTTGTGTTGGTCCCGCTGCTCGAATTGTCTGTCTTCTCTTTCTCTTCATCTTTCAGCCCCACCCCTTCAGACGCCGACACCACAGCCCCTCCTCCCCCTGTATTGTAGCTCTGTGTGTCCCCTTTAGGATGCCTCCCCTAAGCAGGCAGGCCCCTTGGGTCACTCTGTCTTCAGTGTGGTACAGTCTATGCCACATAGTTAACGCCAGGATCAGATGAACTCCAAATAGTGGGGCTCAGAGAGACGAAGGCTGACTTCATAAAGTAATGGCTTCCACTATAGGTTCTGAGGGGTGAGGTGGCTTTTTCTTATGTGTTAGATTTAATAAGTGGATGGCCTGATGCTAAGACAGTTCTCTGAATCTACCAATCTATCTGGATAGAATCAGTTTGTTCGGGGTACCTAGTAACAAGTATCAATTTTTAATACAAATAATAAAGAATGTTGATCTTACTTTCTGTAATACTATATATACCGTACCATTGCCGCCGAGTTGATTCCGACTCATAGTGACCCTGTAGGACAGATGAGAACTGCCCCACAGAGTTTCCAAGGAGCGCCTGGTAGATTCGAACGGCTGACCTTTTGGTTAGCAGCCGTAGCTCTTAACCACTGTGCCACCAGGGTTTCCGCTTCCTGTAAAGGCTTGGCTAAATGAATGCTTTGCTTGAACAATAGATTGTTCTGGTTAATCAAGTTATCTGATTTCAGCTTAGTCAGAAATTACTTTTGTTTTAGTCAATATACTAATCTGATTTCCTGTCTACATAAAAACAGCAGTCATAAAAGTGAATTTTACAGGGCCTCAGGGTCAGTATGTGACGCTAGTATGTGAAGTGACGTGATAAGATATATTTTAACCCGTTATTTTGTAACTCCCTGAAGCGTTTGTTGACGTTAGCCTTTTTGTCCTAAGTTTAGTGCCGGGAAACCTCCTGGGTGAGTGGGTTCTGATCGACCCATTAATGTTTATTGAACATCTGCTTGGTATCAAGGAATGGCACGACAAACAGATGAATTGTCTCAACACCAAAGGGACTTGCCACCTGTACCTAGCGGGGGGGGGACAAGGGTACCAGTTACTGTAGTGCCAGGCGCCAGAGATGGGCCTAGCGGTGTGTGCCGGTGGGGTTCACAGAGATGCTTGTGGTGTGTTCTGCTGTTGGTACCTCTTGGCCAGACTCCCACGTGGATAGGTGACTCCAGCGTGCTTTTCGCTTTGTCCCCAACAGGCTCTTGGGTGGAGCTGCACTTCAGCAACAACGGGAACGGGAGCAGTGCCCCTGCCTCCGTTTCTGTTTATAATGGTGACCTGGAAAAAATACTGCTGGATGCCCAGCACGAGTCTGGAAGGAGCAGCTCCAAGAGCTCCCACTGTGACAGGTAGGGGGGACAGCACGTGTGCTGCAGCCTGGCTTCCTGAGTGGATGCTGAATTCCATACAGATGGGTGGGTTTCTTCTCAGTGCAGGCCAAATTAGAGTCGTCTTTGCACAGAGGGACCCTTGCCCTCAGTTGGAGGAAATGACCTGGGGCAAGCAGCACAGTCCCCTTGCAAGTGCCTCATCGCGTCAGCTAGCTTAGTAACGTCGGGCGTCCTGACCCCGAGTTAGGCATTACTTCGTGCACCTCAGCAGTGATTGTTTCCGTGGGGGTGGGAGGGGTCTGGTTGGCAGCACTTGGCAGATGTGAACTCGGGCAGCATGGCTGATAGTCGGGGGCCAAAGGCCAGACTCTCGGGGGCTGCGTAGTGCGCAGTAACCTACTTGGCTGAGAAGGCCAGCCACCTACCGGCAGTCGGTGTCCTTCCCCTGGAAGATGGGCCTGCAGACTCCTATCGTGCTTAGCTGCGAAGACCGGAACGGTCAGAACCGGAGAAACAGACTGGTCCTTGCCTGGCGCTGGGTGGAAGGGAAGATACACCTATGAGGCGGGAACCCACTCTTCCCTGAGGGGACATTTCCCTACCTTTGGGGCGTTCATTTTCTAACAGTAACGAGATGTTCTGCTCCTCCCACTCTTTTCCGCACCCCTACCAAGCCCGCCTCGCTCACAGACTCCCCAAGACACAGCCAGAGCTTCGGAGACAGAGACCCACAGCAATGGGGAGAAGAACAGCTCTCAGGTAAGCCAGCTGTCTTAGTCATCTAGTGCTGCTATGACAGAAATACCACAAGTGGATGGCTTTAACAAAGAGAAATTTATTTCTTCCCAGTAAGGTAGGCTGAAAGTCCAAATTCAGGGCGTCAGCTCCAGAGGAAGGCTTTCTCTCTCTGTTGGCCTTCTCATCAGTGTTCCCCTGGACTAGGAGCTTCTCCGCGCAGGGACGCTAGGTCCAAAGGACGCGCTGTACTCCTGGCACTGCTTTCTTGGTGGTATGAGGTCCCCAATTCTCCATTCTCCACTTGTTTTCCTTTCCTTTTATCTCTTACAAGAGATAAAAGGTGGTGCAGGCCACACCCCAGGGAAACTCCCTTTACGTTGGACCAGGGATGTGACCTGGGTTAGGATGGTGTCACAGTCCCACCCTAATCCTCTTTAATGTAAAATTACAATTACAAAATGGAGGACAACCACACAACACTGGGAATCATGGCCCAGCCAAACTGATAGACACATTTTTGGGGGGACATAATTCATTCCATGACACCCGGTGTAAATGTCTGTGATCTGTTTGTAATCTTGTAAATGTAATTGAGTAAAGTGTGGGTTTTAGTGTGTCTCCCACCTTTTTTTATAACTGTGTGGGGTGGGGACTTCCCCAAAGGATGGGTTTCACATTGAGCTTGGGGCAGGACATGTAGCGGGGCCTCCTCTGCTCCCCGTCCCCACTGCTTTGTGGGGATACATGGTCGGGAGAGGAGAAGGAGAGGCAGTTGTCTTGTGCATGCAGCCTGGAGAGGGAGTGAGCTGCCATGGGCCGGTAACTGAACCGGCTACTGGTGCCGCTTCCCGCTGGGCTGCAGAGTGGACAGCGCTTTTGGGAGAGCCCGGCGTTTCCTACACGGCCGTTCAGGGCCACCCTACCATTGGGGTTGGGATTCTGATTCTTGGGCTCCCTCCTCATTAGACATTGTAGTTGCTTGCCAGAAGTTATAGCCCAGGCCTTTTCTGACACCCAGTTGCTAGCTGCTGTCTGGGTAGTTAAGCACTAGGAGCTAATCGCAATGTTTGAAACCATTTTTCTAACATTCATTCAACAAATGTTGACTGGAGGTTCTTCCTGTCAAGTTCTTAGCTAGTTGTGGGGCCACAAAACCTTCTGATGGCTGGAGTTCAAGACAAAAAGTGTGCCTGAGGCTGGTGCCTTAACTCATTTCTTTTCCATTCTCCGCCTGCGTAGATTTTGAGGAGTGATGAGTATCTTGCTCGCTTTAGCTAGCAGGGGTCAGCGTGGTATTTTGGATGCACAACACGTTTTCTTGGACATTTTGTAATAATCACAATAACAATAACAGCTGAATTGCCCCTCATATTTATTCAGAAGCCGTCCTAGTGGAGCCTGGTCTCACAGTCAGTGCTCCACAGTCACTCTGCCTCCTGTGCTAGTGTCCCTTGAGGCCTGTGAACGAGTAATTTCATGAACAAATCAGGATCAGCACAAAGCTGGTTCCCGTGAGGTGGAGGCCAGGTCAGGTGCATCTCCACCTTCCTGCAGCGCCATCAGTTCCGACACCAGTCACTCCCCTCAGGCACTCTCGGCTGCTCTGCAGGGTTTGATTTGTTGAAGCGGCCACACCGGACTCACACAACTGGGAGTGATACGGTTTATTAGGAAAGTAACAGGCTGCAAGTCAGGATCGGCATCAGGAAGCACCCCGGCTAGGTCTGGGAGGGGACCCAAAGTGGAGAGCACGTTCCTCATCAGCGCAGCGCAGCGCAGCTTCTGGCCAGGACGGCTGTCAGAGCAAACGGGCTCACGGAGCAGATAAGCTCTCGGCTAGAACAGCTCTGGGGCTGCTCTCGGCCAGGGCCATTGCTTCCCTCCAGTGACCAGTGGGCGAGGCTTCTTTGCTGGGCAGCTGCCTTCCCTGCCACGCAGGCCTCCATGTCCGGCCTCTTTGCTGCTTACTGGCCCAGCTCACAGCAGTGTAGCAGCTTCGGGACCACTTGGCTCCCACGTGGCTCTGTTGCTCTGCCTTCCCAGCTCTCAGCCAGCACCTTTCTCTGTAAACCAGGAGATCTCTAAAACCTCTGCCTTTCCGCCATTTACATATCCTGATCCTCAGATCCTGCTCGGTTGCAAGGTGGGGCCTCCCTCACCAGACCAGAGTTCAACCAGTCCTCAGTTACCCATGACATGTCAATCAACTCAGGCCTTGTTAATTATCAGACAAAAGGATCAAGCCATCAAGTCGTTTACCGCTTACCCAGGAAGTGTTATCAGCCCTGGGAATCCCCTGGGTAAAAGGAACAAACCCTTTGGGGTAGAAAACAACCTGGGAGCCCCCCTCCCCCCAAGTTGCTTCTCCAAAGAACTAGGGCAAAGGTAACAACTCCTCAGGGCTGGGAAAAACCTCTGAAGCTGTCTTTTTCAAAGAACCAAGGCAAATGGCCACATAAAAGAAGTCGTTGCCCACAGCCTGTGACACCGAGGAAACAAGGGGTCCTTGCTAGCACAGGCCTCCTGGAGCAGTCTCCCCGGCCTGACCAGCCCGCGCTCCAGAAGCATCCAGAGCACCCTGGCTGTTGGGAGGCCTTTGTGCTGGAGCTCTGGCCGTGGGCATGCTCCAAGACCGGCCCGGTGCAAACAGATGTCCAGTATTCTAGAATGTTTCCAGTTTTTTTGTTTTGTTTCATTTTTTTTCTCATGATTATAAAATAATTACACGCTCAGGTAAAGAATTTTGAAAATGTAAAAAGGTAAAAACACCTATAATGCTTTCTAAAGACAGTGCCTTGAATTAGTATATTAGGTTGTCTCTATTATTAGATTGTCTCTGTTATTAGATCGTCTCTGTTATGTAACTTTTAACACGTAGCTGAGTTCATAGGCATATGTTACATTTTCTGCTTTTTCCTCCCACTTGAACGTGAAAGCAGTTTTTCTTTTAAACGTGCTTGGTACACAGTATTCCATTTGCTTAGTCATTGTTGTTAGGCGCCCTTGAGCCCGTTCCAACTCATAGTGACCCTGCGTACAACAGAACAAAACACTGCCTGGTCCTGCGCCATCCTCACAGTCATGGTTATGTTTGAGTCCATTGCTGCAATCACTGGGTCAGTCCATCTCATTGAGGGTCTTTCTCTTTTTTGCTGACCCTCTATTTTAGGAAGCATAATGTCCTTCTCCAGGGACTGGCCCCTCCTGATAACATGTCCAAAGTGTGCGAGACATAGTCTCGCCATCCTTGCTTCTAAGGAGCATTCCGGCTGGACCTCTTCCAAGCCAGATCTGTTCATTCTTTTTGGCAGTTAGTATGTTCAGTATTCTTCACCAACACCATAATTCAAAGGCGTCAATTCTTCAGACTTCCTTATTCATTGTCCAGCTTTTGCATGCATATGAGGCAGTTGAAAATACCACAGCTTGGGTCAGGCACACCTTAGTCCTCAAGGTGACATCTTTGCTTTTGAACATTTTAAAGAGGTCTTTTGCCGCAGATTTGTCCTACGCAGTGTCGCTTGATTTCTTGACTACTGCTCCCATGGGTGTTGATTGTGGATCCAAGGAAAATGAAATCCTTGACAACTTCAGTCTTTTCTCCGTTTATCATAATGTTGCTTATTGGTCCACTTGTAAGATTTTTGTTTTCTTTACATAGAGGTGTAATCCATACAGAAGGAGGCTGTAGTCTTTGATCTTCATCCGTAAGTGCTTCAAGCCCTCTTCACTTTCAGCAAGTAAGATTGTGTCATCTGCATATCGCAGGTTGTTAATGAGTTTTCCTCCAATCCTGATGCTCCGTTCTTCGTATAGTGCAGCTTCTCAGATTGCTCAGAATGCAGACTGAATAAGTATGGTGAAAGGATACAGCCCTGACACACACCTTTCCTGATTTTTAAGTATCCCCTTGTTCTGTTTGAACGACTGCCTCTTGGTCTGTGTACAGGTTCCTTATGAGCACAATTAGGTGTTCTGGAATTCCCATTCTTCACAATGTTATCCGTAACTCGCTATGATCCACGTAGTCGAATGCCTTTGCATAGTCGGTAAAACACAGGTAAACATCTTCCTGGTATTCTGTGCTTTCAGGCCAAGACCAGCTGACATTAGCAGTGATATCCCTCAGTCCACGTTCTCTTCTGAATCTGGCTTGAATTTCTGGAAGTTCCTTGTCAATGTACTGATACAACCGTTTTTGATTTATCCTCAGCAAAATTTTAGTTGCGTGTGATATTAACGACATTGTTGGATAATTTCTACATTCCACTGGATTACTTTTCTTTGGAGTGGGCACGTCTGTGAGTCTCTTCCAGTAGCCGTCTTCCAAATTTCTTGGCATAGACGAGTGAGCGCTGTCAGCATTGCATCCGTTTGTTGAAACATCTCAATTGGTATTCCGTCAGTTCCTGGATCCTTGTTTTTTGCCAGTGCCTTCAGTGCAGCTTGGACTTCTTCCTTTGATATATGCTACCTCCTGAAATGGGTGAACATCAACCAATTCTTTTTCATGCACTGACTCTGTGTATTCCTTCCATCTTTTGATGTTTCCTGGGTGGTTCAATATTTTCCCCATAGAATCCTTTAGTATTGCAGCTTGAGGCTTGAATTTTTTCTTCAGCTCTTTCAGCCTGAGAAATACTGAGCGTGTTCTTCCCTTTCGGTTTTCTAACTCCAGGTATTTACGCATTTTGTCATCTTGAGCCGCCCTTTGAAATCTTCTGTTGAGCTCTTTTACTTCATCATTTCTCCCATTCGGTTTAGCTTCTCTGTGTTCAAGAGCAAGTTTGAGAGTCTCTTCTGACATCCATTTTGGTCTTTTTTTCTTTTCTGTCTTTTAGTGACCTTTTGCTTTCTTCATGTATGATGTCACTGATGTCATTCCCCAACTCATCTGGTCTTTGGTTATTAGTGTTCAATGCATCAAATCTGTTCTTGAGATGGTCTCTAAATTCAGTTGGGATATACTCAACGTTGCATTTTGGCTCTTATGGACTTGTTTTAGTTTTCTTCAGCTTCAGCTTGAACTTGCATTTAAGCAGTTGATGGTCTGTTCCACAGTCGGCCCTGGCCTTGTTCTAACTGATGATATTGAGCTTCTCCATCGCCTCTTTACACAGATGTAATTGATTTGATCCCCACGTAGTCCATCCAGCAGAGTCCACGTATACAGTCACCGTTTATGTTACAAGTTGTGCTGGCTTTCCCAGTATTGTGTATTGTCTTAACCTTCCCCAGAAATGTCCTTTTTGACAATGAATGCAGTGCCATTCCTGTTCAGTTTGTTATTCCTGGCATAGTAGACCGTATGATAGTCTGATTCAGAATGGCCAGTGCCAGTCAATTTCAGCTAACTAATGGCTAGGATATCGACGTTTAAGCATTCTATTTCATTTTTGACTGCTTCTAATTTTCCTTGTTTCATACTTTGTACATTCCACATTCCAATTATTGACGGATGTTTGCAGCTGTTTCTTCTCATTTTGAGTCACGCTACATCAGCATATGAAGGTCCCGAAAGCTTGATTCCATCCTCGTCATTAAGGTCGACTCTACTTTGAGGAGGCAGCTCTTCCCTGGTCGTAGTTTGAGTGCCTTCCAACCTGAGGGCTCATCTTCCGGCACTGTATCAATGTCCCACTGCTATCCATAAGGTTTTCATTGGCCATATTTTTCAGAAGTGGACCACCAGGTCCTTCCTAGTCTGTCTTAGTTGAGAAGCTCCACTAAAACTTGTCCACTGTGGGTGACCCTGCTGGTATTTGAACTACCGTTGGCATAGCTTCCAGCATCACAGCAACACGCAGCCCCGACAGTATGACAGACACGTGGTACTTAGTTTCCTCCCTGTTTTGGGCCACTTAGAGTGTTCTCATTTTAACCTGTTGTAGCCAGTACTGCTCTCAGCGTCTTCCCTCGCCTTCAGATCATGTCCTTGGGCAGGGCCCTCACAGATGTGGTCTGTGTGCAGGGAGAACAGTACTCCAAGGGCTGGCTGTACTGGAGGGGACCCAAATGAAGCCCCCACCCCCTGCTGCCTTGCAGCCTGAGCCGGAGAGTGGGGGCCGTGTCTCTGGACTCGGTGCAGTAACAGTGTCACTGGTGCTTGGTTGAAGGCACAGATGCAGTAGGTTAATCTGCTTTTAACTTCACGTTTATTTTCCTTTAGTCTGAGGAAGATTATATGGAGAGAAGGAAAGAAGTTGAAAGCATCCTGAAGAAAAACTCAGATTGGATATGGGATTGGTCAAGTCGGCCCGAAAATGTCCCCCCCAAGTGAGTCTGTTTCTCACGTCACGATCCCCCTCTGACACAGGACATGCGGACTAAAACGCTCGTCCCTTCTGCCCTAGGGAATTCCTCTTCAAGCACCCGAAGCGCACAGCCACGCTCAGCATGAGAAACACGAGCGTTATGAAGAAAGGGGGCATCTTCTCGGCAGAATTTCTGAAGGTTTTTCTTCCGTCTCTGCTGCTGTCCCATCTGCTAGCCATTGGCCTCGGGTCAGTGACACATCATGGCACACCTGGGGGTGGTCCCGCCAGCTGCCTCCCGTCGGCCCGACTCAGGCACACCACGTGGCAGAGTAGAACTGGGCTCCACGGGGTTTTGAGGGGCTGAGTTTTTGGAAGTAGATCACCAGGCCTTTCTTTCAAGGGGCCTCTGGGTGGACTTGAACCTCCCACCTTTTGATGAGCAGCCAAATTTGTTAACCGTCTGCAGGACCCAGGGACTCAAGAGGTAGGAAGGGAATGCATTCGCCAGAGCGCCGACGTTCAGGTTGGCTAGTCTCTACCTTGCACTGGTGTGGAGTGAGCTGTACTGTGAGAAGCAGTGCACAACTAGGTGTCCCTAAGTTAGATATTAATGTGGGACACACACTGATGAAGAATAAAAAGCTTGTTAAAAGACGGCAGATAGACTCATTACAGAACATTTTAAAAATGGGTATTTTTAAGATGAGCTTGTAAGCTATGAAATCCCCCTCCATAAGCTTCCACCACACTCAGCTGCCATCTCAGCTGTGTGGATACTCGCTCAACTCAGAGGCCATGCTAACTGCCCGTTGCTCTTTCTCTCAAGGATCTACATTGGAAGGCGCCTGACAGCCTCAGCCAGCACCTTCTGATGAAGACTGGTGTCGACTTTGTTCACAAGCGGGGATTCTGAGTTCACCGCAGAGCCAGCTGAAGGGAGCTTGAGCCTGGGTGGCTGCACAGCTGTGTTCGTTTGTTCTGTAAACGCCCTGTTCCCAGTTTGGTGACACGGAAGAGGGACACCAAAACCACACTAACCTATAATCCTGCCTGTGAGATCAGTTAATAAGCATGTCAGACTGATTATATCTACTGCAATATTTGGTAGTACATTTTCTTTGGATGTTCTATCTAAGTATAAATAATTTTAACATACAAGCCATGATGTATGTAGCACTCTAACACAAAGCATCTGTAACTGTAGTTCAGTTCAAACTCTTTGTATCTCAGAAGAATGAATCATGTTGATATGGAAGCTCCTACCTTCCCAGGGCTTGTCCAGAGGCAAGCAGCGTGGCCTGGCCCTCATGTGGTGGCGTAGCGTACGTACATCTTGTGCTTATTAATTTAAGTGGATGCAGGCTGTCAGCTGAAGACTGTAGTTAGCTCTGCTGATTGTTCTTTGTGCAGCGAGAAATGGAAAACCGAGGTACAAACTCCCATACACTTCACACACTGAACTGCTCTGGCTTTTGCAGTGTGCAGACTTAAACCTCCGACTGTGAAGTGACCATCTCGGATGATCAGTTTTCTGTCCAGAGCACCTGCTCAGTAGGCTCCCTCCTCCTCCTCACTCTAGATCGCCAAATTTCACCTTACCCTTGGTGTTGACCTTTGTGTGCTCTGAGAATCAGCTTCACGCTAAGCCAATCTGTGTGTCTACTCTGAAAGACTGGAAAGAAAAAAATAAACCATTGCCAAACCCTTCACAGATGACTGTATTTACACGTGGCTTAACGCCAAATTTCCTAACTTTGATTAAACCAGGCCTGTTCTCCAGTGTTGCGCTGTTTGTCTTTACGGCACAGGTTTTTAAAGGCCCCCTCTTTGATATACTGTATATGTGCTGTTCTGTATTTGTCTCTCTTTTCCACGTTTAATTCAGTATTTGTGTTAAAATAAATCTAACATTTAATTTTTAAAATCTTTGTTTATATTTAAACAATGACCCCGGAAGAAGCCCGGTGGAGCGGTACCGCCTCTGTCTTGTAATTAGCTGGAAGGAGGAGAGCACGTGATGTCACGTGCAGCATGCTGGTCAAGCACAACACCCTTTTATTGGACAGCAAATAGGAAGTCGCTTGTCTTAGATCAGAAGCCAGGATTTGCTCCTGTGTGGCTGCTGAGCTGTGTCATGGTGATGGAGCTGTACTTGGTCATAGGAGCAGGTGACAGGCCACCAAAATGAATGGCATTCAAGGAGACCATGAGGTTTCATCTGTGCTCACTGTCTGAATATCACTCAGATGCCTGGGGTGCAGGGCAAGGCTGCTCACATCTGTCCCTCTCTTCAGTAGCGTCAGCTGAGCGCTTGTTAGAACTAGCTGGGGGTACTGAGCTCTATTGCTACCCAAGTGCTTTATGTACATGTGACGTGAAGAGCAATACCCTAGCTTTCTAGACGCTTTTCCCACCAGGCTGTAATACCACAACGGACAGGACATATATATATATAACTTTCAAGTAAGGTAATGGCAGTGTATGAAATGGAGGGTTTTTAAACCGCTTTCGCAAATAGCCCGTTTCTATTGTTAGTACAATTAACTGCCCACGCCATTATTCACTGAATACTAAGTTTACAAAATGCTTAACACAGTCCGAATAATTTTGACTTCAGAAGAACTTAGCGCTTCACTCCTCCCTGTAACGTGGTTTCTTGTTCGTGATGTTTGCACTGGCCACTGGCCGTGGCGTATCATGCTTCCCTCCCCTCCCAGAAATGCTGTGCCGCTTCCATCAGCAGCAAACTTTTATTCAGACGTTCTGACTAGAGTGTCTTTTTCTAAAGCACTGATGCATTTCAGGAGCAGAACTTTAAAAATGAAATTGTAGCCCCTGCTCTCGGGAGAAGACGCCCTGGTGGTGCAATGGTTAAGCACTCAGCTGCTAACCGAAAGGTCAGCAGTTTGAACTCACCAGCTGCTCCCCAGAAAGACCTGTCAATCTGCTCTCATAGAGACCGCAACCTAGAAAACCTTATGGGGCAGTTCTACTCTGTCATGTGGGGTCACTGTGAGTCGGAATCGACGGCACCCAACAACAGCTCTGTGGTTCCAGACTGAACTTGCCCGCACGTGGGGGTCTGGCTGGCCGGGCCCTGCGGCCTCCAGTGCTCCCCTGTGTCTGCTGCGGCCATGCTGGCCTTCTGCTCACTTGCCCCAGGACCTCTGTGTAGAACACACAGCCCCCTGACCCCTCTAAGTGCTTCCTGGGCCCCCGCGGGCAGCTCCAGCAGGCCCTGCCCAGGGCATTTTCCCGACTGCCTTGGCCAGGTCAGCCGTCAGGTGTTCTCACAAACCTGCTCCACTTACCTGGTTGTAATGACTGATCATTGGGATCATCGTAAACGTTTGCTCACTGACGTTCAGCAGTCCTGTAAAAGAATGCAGAATATTCAAGGGCATCATCTCTGGTCCACTTGGGCTCAGCAGCTCTTAGCATTGAGACTGCAGAGCTGTCCCTGCCCCTTCGCAGGAGGGGACAAGAGGAAATGAAGCCGGTGTCACCTCATAGGAGCATTTCAGGCTACGGAGACGGAGTGGGGTGGAGGCAGAGGCCGAGTGTCAGATGCAGGGACCCCTGCCTCAGTGTTGGGGTCTGGGTTTGTATCAGTTGGGAAACTGGGTGGTCCAGGCCACAGCAGGGGAGGGAGGTGACAGGAAGCTGGGTCAGCAGGAGCGGTACTGTGAGACATGCTCCATTCTTGGGTCGGAAAGGAAAACCCCCCCAGGAAGTCAGCATCTGAGGGCCAGCCAGGCCCAGGAAAAGTGCTCCAAGGCCCTATACGTCTCACCTCACTTGCATAGTTGTAGACCAGCTGCTTCCCAGCCTGTGATGTACACACAGGCCCTTTGGGGTCACGTGAGATGCTGGTTCTGCTCAGTAGACCAGGTGTGCAGTCCCAGGCGCCACGTTTCTGACAGGCTCCCAGGTGAGGCTGCTGGTGCTGGTGTGCCAGCCACACTTGGCGGAGCAAAGACGTCACCACTGGGACTCACGCTCCTTGGCTCTCAGATTAAATGTCTAAACGGCAAAGGATGAGACTGCCGTTGAACATTTTAAAAACAGCGTAAGCGAGGCAACAACGGGCCGGCACTGAAAAAGTGAACCGAGGATTTTATAAGCAGCCAAGCTGCCATTCAGGTATCAAACACGATAGAAACGTTTTCAGCAGAAAACAAGTGAGGGAATTCTGCAACCATGGGCCCTTCTGGAGGAATCTGCAAAGGCTGAGCTTCATCCAGGGAACAGTTGGGAAAGCGTCAGCAAGAGGCCTGAGGGTGAACATTTGAGTATTTACACATGTAGATCCAGGACCGAAAGGTGGGAAAGGAGGTGGAAGGATAATGTACAAATGTTCTGTGTTACAACAAAGTGGAAATAATGTAACTAAAAAGTGGGAAACAACTAGAGAATTTATAAAAGGTAATGATAAAGACAGTAGGTATCAGAATCTACAGGCTATATTTACAACAGTATTGAGAGAAAATTCAGATAAAATGCTCTGTTCAGTAAAACCGAAGACAGTAAAAATAAATGAACTATCCCGCTCAAAAAGCTAGAAAAGGAACAAAGTAAATCAAAAAGAAGCTCAAGGACGGGAATAGTGGAAACTGAAGAAGCAGAGAGTAAAAAGACATAGTTAATAAACCTGTTATTTTTTGAAAATAATAAACATCATTATTAACTTAATCCAGAAAAGACCAAATATACACATTAGGAAATGCCAAGGGGGAAATAACCATCGAAAAAAGGGTATCAAAAACGTTACTTAGTGGACTTCTTTACAAATAACTTTTGAATACTAGGTGAAATGGATAGTTTCCTAGAGAAAGAGAATGCCAGAACTGACCCCATGAAAGATAGAAAACTGAAACATCAATTTCCACAAAAGAAACAGAGGCTAATAAGGAGCTACCCCACAAAAAATGACTTAGCTTTTACCAAACTTCTAGTCCCAGACAGTGTCGATGCACTATAAATTGTTCCTGAGCATTGAAAGTGAAACCTTCCTAACTTGTTTACAGAAGCAAGTATAACAACTGAGACTTAAACTAATAAAGACTGTACCAAAAAAAAAAAACTAATAACATTCATGAATATTGATGAAAAATTACCACTTTTATAAAATATTTGAAAAAAGAACCAACTCCACAATAAAATAATATACAATGATCAAGTGGGCTTTCTTCCAGGAATGTAAGATTGCTTAAATATTAGGAAATCTGTTTATAGTATACACTATATTGACAGACTAGGGAAAAACATGACCATTGATTGCCACAGATGCTGAAAAGGCCTTTGACAAAATTCAACACCTATTCTCCACACACACACAACATCAGAAGCATATCCATTAAGATCAGAACAAGACAAAGGGCCCACTACTTCTGCTACTATTTAACATTATACAAGAGGTAGTAGCCAAGTCAGTTAGATAAGAGAAATCAATTTAGGGCCTAACAATTGGTGAAGAAGAAATAACACTATTCATACTGGGTCGCTGTGAGTCCGAACTGACTTGATAGCAACGAGTTATGGTATTTTTAGCTGATATGATAGTATTTTTGAAAAACCCTAGAGAATCAGTGATAAAACCAATTCAAACAATGAAAGACTTCAGTAAGGTAGCAAGATATTAATGTACAAACTCAACAGACTTCACACACACAGACAAAATAGCCAGTTAGAACATATTATTTAGAGAAAACCCATTTACAATACTAACAGAAAAGATTAACTTCTTGGGAATTAATTTAACATGAAATGTGTGAAACCTGTAAAGAAAAAAATTAAAACTCTCCTGGAAAACACAAAAGTAGATTTGAACAAATGGAAAGGCATCTCGTTCTTGGATAGGTCGGCTCAACACTATAAAGACGGTAGTTCTCCCTAATTTAATTCAATAAATTGATAAATTTAATTCAATCCCAATAAAAACAACAACAAGAAGTTTTTTAGAGTTAGATAGTTGATATTAAAGTTTATATGGAAACACATAAATGTAAAATAAAAATTATAAGGGAGGATTAATCCTGTCAGACATCAAAATATACCATAAAACCTCCAAGTTAAAACTGTTGCACTAGTGTGTGACTAGACAAATAGGTAAGTGGGAGAGAAAGCCCAGAAATGGATCGAAATAATGTGGAAATTGACTATATAATAATGGTGGCATCTCAAGTCACGGGTAAAACTGGATTTTTTAATAAGTGGTAATAGAAGCCATCTGTAAAAGGGTACAGTTAGATCCATATCTCACACATACACAGGATCAACTTCAAATGGATTAAGGATCTAAACGTAAAACATGACTGTGCAAAAACTAGAAGAAAGCACAGGTGAATCCCTCTTTGACCTCAGGGTGGGGGAAAGCTTTCTAATCACAACTCAAAAATCAGCGGCAATAAAAGAAGAGAGTGATAAATTTGACTACTTAAAAATGGAAAACGTGTGCATGGTAAAAAAGTTAAAAGACAACTGAGAACCCGAAAGGAAATATCTGCAACATCTGTCACAGACAAAGGCTATTACGCCAAACGTGTAAAACCGAAACCAAACACCGAGCGGACTCCCACTCACAGCAAACCCTGCAGGACAGAGCAGAACTGCCCCATGGAGTTTCCAACGAGCGGCCGGTGGATTTGAACTGCCGACCTTTTGGTTAGCAGCCGAGCTCTTAACCACTTAAAAACTGAGAGACAAAGGACTACAACTCTGATAGAAAAATGGGGAAAAACTATAAAACAAGCAATTCACAAAAGAGATAAACACTGTCTCTAAGCGTTTGAAAAAATGTTCACTCACTGGAGAACTGCCAGTTAAAATAGCACAGACATACTATTTCTCACCTATCAGATCAGGGAGAAGAAGGGCAGTACGCTGTCACGGCTGTGGGGAAGGACACTCACTGCTGGTGGGAAGGCACACGGGACAGCTGTCTGAGGGGAATTTGGTGACAGCCAAAGAAACCACATCCGCACTAGCTGTGGTACACCCACAACCCACTTCATCCTGAAGATTAACCTCTAAAAATCTGAAAACACATATGGATCAAATTATATTATTTATAATACTTATTATTCATAAAATGTAAAATATCTGCAACCAAAATGCCTACACGTAGGAGACTGATTCAGTAGACGGTGAACATCCACACCACGGAGTACTATGCAGCTGATTAAAAAAAAAAAAGAATGAGGATGATCTCAATGAACTGATATTGAATGACTTCCAGCACATACTGTTAAGTGAAAAAAGCAAAGTGCAGAAGAGTAGCCACGTGTCCCCAACAGGAACAACAGATTTGATGACAGATGGTTGAGACAAGAAACTTGTGGCTGTCTTGAAACACGGCCCCCAAATCCTTCGACAGTCCTCCCATGCGGAGGTAGCCTGTCCCCCCCTTGAAGGTGGATTCTGTGACGACTGAATGATGGAATGAGGAGGGAGAAGCGCTGTGCCAGTCTCCGGGCCCAGGCCTCACGAGACCGGCAGCTTCTGCTGTCTTGGGCGCTGGCTCCTGGACCCAGCTGCCATGCTGTGAGGAAGACACGCCGCCCAGTGCAGAGGCCACTGGAGGGAACTGGTCCCAGCAAACCTGCTCACCGTGCGGTGACCCATCTTTGAAGGGGAACGTCCAGCCCCAGGCAGCGGCCGAGCTGATGCCATGCAGAGCAGAGATGAGCTGACCTGCTGAGCCCTGCCCAAACTGCAGATGGGTGAACAAAATAAAGGCCTGCCAGAGTTAAAAAAAGGAAGTTCTGTAGTGTGCTACCCTTCATGTAAGAAAGGAGGAGCTACAGAAGACACACACACACACACACACACACACACACCACACACACACACACCACACACACCCCACACACACCACACACCCCACACACACCCCCCCCCACACGTATCTGCTCACTAGTGCAAAAAAGAAACATGGGGTGAATAAGCCAGAAATGAATGAGACTGGTTCCCAGGCAGGGCTAGGGTGTGTGTGTGTGTAACAGGTGGAAAATGGGAAGGGGAAGAAGGAACGAGAGGATGCCCTTTCTCTGGGTATTCCTTTTTGCATAGCTCTGACCCTTAGTAATGTTTTACATACAGCCAAAATGTTTAATAATTAAAATCCACCATTTTGGGGTATGAGGATAAATAATCATCAAATATCTACTTTTCCACTTCTCTGTTCAGTTCTGAGCCCAGCCACCTGTGTGGCACTTCTTTCTCTGACCGTAGTTACCCAGAGCTAGGTCAGATCTCACGAAAGGACACTGTCCTTCAGATGCCAAGTAGGCAGACACCAGCTGCCAGCTCGGGGTCCTGCTGGGCTCCCTCACTTCTGACATGCTGGCTCCCACTGCTCCCTCAGGTTCGATAACTTGCTAGAACAAGTCAGCATTCACAGAAAGCACTAGACTATTACCATTTCTTTGTAGGACGCACGGATACAAACGAGATGCATAGGGCGAGGTCTCGGAGCATTCCCAACAGGGAGCTTCCATGTCCCAGAAAACGTGCATGGATCTTTCACCAACCAAGAAGCCCACGGAGCTTCTGTGTCCAGAGCTTTGACGGGGGCGGGGGTGGGGTGGTCTCATTATGTAATGCAAACTGTAGCCCCTCTCCCTGAGGTTGGTTGACATTACATGGTGATTAAGAGCTATCATGGGTGGGTCTGTCTGGACTGACAAGCCTCCACCCGAGTCACCTCATCGCCTCACTGGCATAACCGGTGAGGCGGGTGTGGTCTGCCGTCCTTATCCGATAAGACACCATGTGAGTTACCTCATCGCCTCACTGGCATAACCGGTGAGGTGGGTGTGGTCTGCCGTCCAAGACACTTAAGGTTTTTTAGAGATTATCCCTCAGGAGCTGAGGGCGAAGACCAAATTCTTTGGGTAAGGTTAATTCTAAACCCCACAGGGGGGAACCCAAAATGGAATACAAACAGTAACAAGGGAACCCAACTCTATTACAATGGATAATCTAACCACCTTGAAGGGGTGGAGAAAAGCTTCGGGAAACAGCACTGAGAAGGAACTCCGTGAGGTTAAAGTAATAAGGGTGTGGCTGAGCAATTCTGGGATGGCTGTGCGGACACCAAGGGTGAGCGAACACGGCACCTCTGCGCCAGGTGCGCGGTCGGCCCTGCTCAGGCGGCCCCGCCGCGGGCACAGCGCGCACCTTTGATGCCAGGGCAGCACCCAGGAAAGGGCAGACCAGCTCAGCCAGGCAGGCCTGAGCTGACACCCCAGCGGGCCACAGGGACAGAGGCCTCCTCGCTCCACCCAGAAGAGCTGCCGTCAGGGCGTTTACCCACCAGCTCCTGCGCGGCCCTGCCTGTGGCCAACTCCGTCCACAATACGCGGGGCTCTTCTGTCCGCACTTCATGCTCCACTCCACCCTGGCAGCCACCTTGGACATTGTCCTGCACGGAGCAGATGCCTGCTGCTCCAGCACCGACAGTTGGCAAGGGGGCACCCGCCAAGGTCCCCCAGTCGGGGCTCTCCCGCTCTGACCTCACCCCCACCACTCCCTTGGTGAGGCCGAGGCGCAGGCCGTGGAGATACAACATATTTAAAGAAAAAGCCACAAGTGCCAACTAGGAGGTCCTTCTCAGCCCCTCATGCGCACTGGCTGACAACCCCTCCTACATGGAAGGCCACAAGCCAGGGGGCCCTGTGGTCCAGGCCAGGGGCTGCCACAGCCCACCGGGAACCAGCCACCTGGCACCAACTAGGGGCCGACGCTGCCAGAGGCCTGGCAAACCTTTCAGGCTTTGAACACCACTCTCTTCAGTTTTGCTGGAAGAAGACAGGACCGCGGCATACCGATACCTGTGAATACCTTCAAATTAGACGTTCGGCATAGCTTAACTGCTTTATGGCAAGCTCAATCTCTCTGCTAAAAAAAGCACTCTGACATCCACGGGTGAGTCCCAGCTTACTCATCTCATCAGGCCATGAGCCCGGAGAGCAGGAAAGCTTCCTGTAACACAGGGCACAGGACGCTGTGCAAGGAAACAAATCACAGAATTAACTTGCAGGAGCGGACAAACGCAGCTTCTCCAGCTTTCAACGGGAGAGGAGCAGAAAGTTTTAGAACAAGAGAAGTGACAAGTATTTCATAAATAAGCTCACAGGCAGAATGGGAAGGGATGAGATGAGAACCACAGGCTCCTACCTCTCATGGGGGGCAGGGGCTTACACGGACTCAGAAAAGGAAGAAGATGGAAAGTGTCTGAACGCCTTTAAAAGCATATTCCTTGGGAGAGAGTCCTGCAGTTTTGCCAACACGTGTAACAGCTTTGACGGTCCCCTGAGGAACACGGGCTCTGAGATGCACCCACAGAAGCAGTGCGGTGCTGCCTGGTGGCCGGCGTCCCGGAGGCCATCCCCAGCAGGGTCTCTGGGCCAGTCGAGGTCCCAGACCCTTTAAGGAGGGGACCCGGAGCCACAGAAGGACCCCGCAGCTCAGCTCTGCACTGTCTTCTGAGCTGAGATGCTGGTTTTCATTTGCTGAAAAATGTCTTAAACGAAAGGCAGAAAAAGCTGTCCAAATCCAGTCAAACATTTAAAATTTATTAAACTTTTTGGTCAAAATAGTTGGACAAATATATACAACCCCATTTTACTAGAACTAGTTTTTGTTACTTTGTTAAGGACCAGGGCTAACTGATGCTTCAACAACTCCGTTCCACACCTCAGAACTCGTAAATTGGGTCACAGCCGGTACGCGGTAAAGAATGATTTTTAAATTAAAATAAACATCCTTGTAGATTCTCAATTTCCTAGCTTCATGTGGACTAAAGGGGCGTTCCAGCAACATCAGTCAGGGCAGTGCTAAGGGTTTTGTCCCGAAAGGGAAGCCATCTCCGTCCCAGCCGTGTGAGCCCCATCCCTCCCTGGGGGCCACCAGCGTAACGGGGCTCCCATCGCTCAGCACGGTGACACTGCTGTATTTTTTAATCTTCAGAAATCTTGATTTTTGCTATCAAAGACTTTACTTTTAAAATCCACCACCAAGGTGCTGGTGGCACCACATCATGGTAACTGTTGAACTCTGCCGGTCGATACGCCGTATGAAATTCTACATGCATGTAATTTTAGCAGTACCTAAAAGTCTCGTTTCCCTCCAGTGTTTTAAAAAGGTTTAAAAAGCAAGCGTAAGTATTCAATCGCGGGGAATGCGAGCCTCCTGCAGACTGGCGTTGATTTTCGAGCAGTGGTTTTGCTCCCTTTCTCCTCTTGAGGTGGCTGCTGGGAAGGCTTCCCCTTACCTGGTCTATCAGAGGTACTACTTCTGCAGAGATGAAGTGACGGCAGCTTTGGGGTCGAGACATTTAGAATTGAAAATACTGCACATATTCCACCATTTTGCCAATTAAGCACTAAGTTTTCCAAATTGTTCCAGAGAATAACTCTGCATAATTTCATTATATGCAATGAAAGTAAACAAAAAGATGATATGATAAATCTGATTGTGCTCAGATTTAAAGACACTCTATGTAGTTTGTGGTTTTTATTAAGTGGCCACCCAGGTGTGTGACGGCGGATACAGCGGGTCAGCAGGTGTGTGACAGTGGCTGCTGCCTGCCGGGCCCTGAACCTGAAGTTGGTGTGAACCCGTGTGAGCTCAGAGGCCGACAGACGCGGCGTGTGGACAGACGCCACACCACGTGTGCTCGGAGGCCCAAATATGATAGCAGAGAGACAGAAGAAGGGGGAGAGAAAGAGAGAAGTACTACAGATGATGACTTTTCTCTTGAACGTTAGCTCTCGGGTCTATAAATGGGAACAGCAGGCGCAGACTTAAATAAATACGTTTATTTTGAATGATGGCCTTTACTGGGCTCTGTCCCTCAGTTCTGCCTCGAGTGGGTTTCCCTTGAGCAGCGACCCTACGTCACCTCACTGAAGACAGAACCACGGGCGCAGCCCTGGGCCCCGCTCTCCTCGCCCAGAGGGAGCAGCAGGGGCCTCACTGTCCTGAACGGAGAGGAAGTGGCGCCTTTTCTCTCACAGAAAGCGGCGGCGAACTAGGAGGATGAGCCGTGGTCCTCCAAGGAGCCTGGCTAGTTGATTTTGTCCTGGAATATGTACAAGTTATTGGTGGCGGCGACAGCAATAATGTTCTCCACGGGGTGCCAGGCGGTGTGAAGAATCTTCTTATTGAAGTCTAGACTGTCAACGCTAATCTCATCTTTCTTTCTTTTGCCACCTGTGCATACCTTCCGAGGCTTTAGGATGGCTCGAGGCTTGCTGTTCTCCCGGGACGCTTCCAAGGTGATATCCCTCCGTGTGTTCCTATCAAACATCCTAAACAAGTTGTTGTAGGATCCAGTCATAATCGCACTGTTCAAAACAAGAGAAAAGAGTGACAAGGAGTTCAAGCCACCGTATTCCAAGCCCACGGTGCTGGGCCCAGCGCATCCCACACCCAGAGCGGGTCGTTTTTCACCACCCCCCGACGGCTGGCACCGTGGTCAAGAGCTCGGCTGCGAACTAAAAGGCTGGCAGTTTGAATCCACCAACCCTCCTTGGGAACCCTGTGGGGCAGCTCTCCTCTGTCCTACAGGGTTGCTATGAGTCAGAGCTGACTCGAGGGCAGCGGGTTTGGCTTCTGTCACTGTACAGCAAAAAGTATTTTCAGCAATAATGGATGAAAACAAATAAGAGAAACGCACCGATAATCTTGTCTTGAATTCACACACATAAAACCACGTCAGTAAAGCATCACAGCCCAGGAAGGGGAAAGGCAGGGCGGTCATACGTTTAATAACATCAGTGCACTTCTGGAAAGAGCAAAGAAAACTACGTGACATCTGTCTGTCACCTGACCGGCTGCTGCCAGTGTCCGGAAGAGGAGGCCAGGCGAAGGCCGGGGCCGCATCTCCACGCCCCACCCCCCGACACTGTCACACGCTGACAGGTACGGGAAGAGGAGGCCAGGCGAAGGCCGTGGCCACACCTCCACGCCCCACCCCCGACACTGTCACACACTGACAGGTACGGGGTGGCATCCCCGGGGCTTTAATGTGCTGATTGCTAATAAGATGAGCACTGCTGAAACCTGTTTATGTTTCCGTTTCTATTCACTCCTGTTCACGGTGTTTGCTCTCTTAGTGGTTTTTCGCCGTTTTCTTACTGCTGTGTGATTCTTTACAGATGTTGGGAACTTATCCCTTTGTTATGTTGTTTTTGTGGGTTTGATGTCCACTGTCTTATCTTGATATAAAGAAGTCAGCATTCTTCAACGCAGCTGAACTCCTTCACGCCTCTGTTTGCCGCTGGGAATTTTCCTTTTTTTTAAAGAATTTTATTATGTTTTAGGTGAAAGTTTGCAGCACGAATTAGTTTCTCTTTCAAAAATTTATACCCAAATTGTTCTGTGTCGTTGGCTGCAGTCCCCGAAATGTGTCAGCACTATTCCCCTTTCCCTTTACACCCTGGGTTCTCTGTGTCCGTTCGTCCAGTCTTCCTGTCCCTTCCTGCCTTTTCGTCTTTGCTTTTGGGCAGATGTTGCCCATCTGGTCTCGTAGACTTGAACTAAAAAGCACGTTCCCCGTATGTGTTAGTGTTTGTTCTACGGGTCTGCCTACTCTTCGGCTGGAAGGTGACTTTAGGAACGGCTTCAGTTCTGAGTTAGCAGGACGTCTGGGGGCTAGTCTCAGTTTATCCAGTCTCTGTCAGGCCAGTACGTCTGGTTTTTTTGTCAATTTGAGTTTTGTTCTTTGTTTTTCTTCCATTCTGTGTGGGACCCTCTATTGTGATCCGTCAGAGCAGTCGGTGGTAGCCGGGCATCTAGTTGTGCTGGACTCAGTGTGGTGGAGGCCGTGGGAGCTGTGGGCCCTGAGTCCACTGGATTAATCTTTCCCTGTGTCGCTGGTGTTCCTCACTCTCCCTTGCTCCAGATGGGATGGGACCAGTGGAGTATCTTAGATGGCCACTCACAAGCTTTTAAGATCCCAGATACTACTCACTAAAGTAGAATGTAGAACATTTTCTTTTTTTATTGTCAAATAAGTTTTTTTTATTGTTGTAATTAAATGAAGTTTACATCTCAAGTTAGTCTCCCATACAAAATTTTTATACACACATTGTTATCAGACCTTAACCGCTCACCCCATTCTGTGACAACACATTCCTCCTTTGCGCCCCTGACTCCCCATGACCATTCAACTAGTTCCTAACCCTCTCTGCCTTCCCATCTCACCTCTGGACAGAAGACGCCCCTTTGGTCTCTTGTATCTACTTGACTAAGAGGCACATTCTTCACAAGTATCACTTTATGTCCCACAGTCCAGTCCAATCCCTGTCTGAAAAGTTGGCCTTGGAAACTGTTTTAGTTCTGGGCTGATAGAGAATCCAGGGGCCATCCTTTCCAGGGTTCCTCCAGTCTTAGCCAGACCATTAAGTCTGGTCTTCTTACTAGAATTTGAGTTCTGTACCCCATCCTTCTACTGCTCCATCAGGGACCCTCTGTTGTGTTCCCTGTCAGGGCAGTCATTGATGGTAGCCGGGCACCATCTAGTTCTTCTGGTCTCAGGCTGATGAAGTCTCTAGTCTGTGTGGCCTTTTCTGTCTCTTGGGCTAATACTTTGCTTGTGTCTTTGGTGTTCTTCGCTCTCCTTTACTCCAAGTGGTTGGGACCAATTGACCGCTGGGGATTTTTATGCCTTGTTGACAAAACCCTTCTCTCTCCCGAGTTCATAAAGATGCTCTCCCACAGTTTCTTCTGGTCTTTAAACCACCAGAGGTCAGGGTAACGTGTGGTGCAAGGGAGGGCTAACTTCTGTGCCCCCACCCGCCCCGGACGAGACAACATGGGTTTGCAGCCACCGTGTCCTCGGTTCTGACATGTTCGCGGCTGTTAGTCCTCCGTCTCAGGCCCTCTCTCCAGTGTCTCTCCTTCTGCTGGAAATCCATCCCTTAGCGGTTCCTGTCAAGCGTTCCCTGCTCGTGGCACAGTCTCCTTTCGGTCTGAAAATGCCTTTATTGTGGCCCCATCCTCAAATCTGAGGCCGACAGCCATTTCCTCTTAGCACAATGAAGACACCATTACGCCACGTCTGGCTGCCCCGTTGCTGCCCAGCCTATGCTGGTCTCCAAGCACATTCTCCGGAGGCCACTTGTCTTTCTCCTCAGGCTGCTTCAAGACCTTCCCGCTGCCCGGGGCGCCTGCAGTGTTATCGCGTGCACGGTGGGTCTCGGTGCTTCCCGCCCCCGTGCCCTAACCTTCTGTCAGGTGTGGGCATTCCCACTGTAAATGTCACTGTGGGCAGCCGCTGCCAAGTCAGCCCCCAACTCATGGCGACCCCACACACAATGGGATCAGGCCGCTGGGATCCAGGCGGTTTTCACTGCCTGATTTTCACAAGCAGATCTCCAAACTTTTCTTCCTGGTTTGAGTCTGGAAGCTCCACTGAAACCTGTTCAGCATTCACAGCAACAAGCATCCAATGAGACAGGTGATGGGTATGTGTGAGGTGGAGCCCTGGTGGCGCAGTGGTTAAGACCCCAGCTGCTAATCAAAAGGTGGGTAGATTGCATCCACCAGCTGTTCCTCGGAAACCCTGTGGGGCAGTTCTACTCTGTCTTTTAGGGTCGCTATGAGTTGGAACTGACTTGATGGCAACGGGTTGGGTGCATGAGGTACCCTGACCAGGACTGGACGGAAGGCGAGCATTCTACACTGTCCCTATACTTTAAATATTGCTGTTGTGAGGTGCTGCTGAGTCGGTTCCCACTCATAGCGACCCCACGTACAACAGAACAAAACACTGCCCAGTCGTGTGCCATCCCCACAATCATTGTTACGCTCGAGCCCATGGCTGCAGCCACTGTGTCAATCCATCTCCCTGAGGGTCTTCCTCTTTTTCACCGACCCTCTACTTTACCAAGCCTGATGTCCTTCTCCAGGGACTGGTCCCTCCTGATTACACGTCCAAAGGACGTAAGATGTAGTCTCGCCATCCTCACCTCTGAGCAGCGTTCTGGCTGTAGCTCTTCCCAGATAGATTTGTTTGTTCTTTTACCATTACTGCCCCACAATTCTCCACTTCTGGATTATTTCTCTCCACTGGGAGGCACACGATCCCTGGTCCTATCCTCCACGCTCCTCTTTCCCATCGCGGGCTCTCGGGGCTGCGTTCTTCCAGCTCACTAATTCCGGGCCTCTCTAGATGCAGTGGCCCCGCTGCTAAGCCCACACAGCGACTCTCAACCGTCACACTGTCGTTTCTGTGAGTTCCGTTCCCTGAGGTCATGTTCAATGGTCTGTGGTTCCCTGCTCGGGTTTCTGCTTCCTTCCTTTAATCTGTGAACAGTCAGCATTCTTCCTTTATATTCCCTAACTCAGGCCCTCATGACATCCCAAGCCCTCAGGGCGCGGGCTCTGCTGTTTGCTGACCCTGCTGGTTTGCTCGAGGTGGCTTTTTCTATGTGTGCTCAGTAATGTATAAGTGAGCTCATCAGGGAAGCCCTGGGGCTGGGGGCACCCTGCGTGTTCTGGCTGGTGTGGCAGGAACCCAGGCCTGGGTGCTCCTTATCTGGGCTGTGGACAGAGCGCAGACAGGTCCACTCTCACTGTGACCAAGGTCCATGTGAGTCAGCCACCCGTGAGCCCCACAGCCTGCAGAGCACCGACCTGGGCCGCTCCGTGCCACCTCGTGGGGCTCGGGAAGCACAGGCCAGCGTCTTGCTGTGCTGTGGCCTGACCCAGGCCTGGGAGCGCCTTTGTTCCTCCAGCTGCCCACAGCGCTGCCCACCTGAAGCTGGAACCTGAGTGGTCTGTGAGCACCCTCGCTGAGCGGGGAGCTCAGCTCTGCCCTGAAGATGCGTGTATCACAGAGGCACTCTAGGCATCTGCCAGCAGGAGGCGTCCTCTGTCCACGTGAACTCAGGACAAGGGAGCACGCTGCATCGCTGCAAGTTCCAGCTGTCGACGGTGCAAGATAACCTCCCTTCCGCAGCCTGACTGTCAGCAGCACTAGCAGTTCTACCGCCTCTCAAGAGTGTGCGCGCGGTAAGTCTAAATGGAGACGGGCGTACGGGCAAGGAGAGATGCTTCTCAGGAGCCTCGACGCTGTCGTCAAACACACACACAGACACGAGGCTTGGAAACGCCTGTCTGTCGGTATCGGCCCCTGTGTCTCCGGACCCCGGACAGCCTCCCTCTCGCCCTGCCCCTCTGGCCTTCTACTCTGATGTGACAAGGGGTCTCTGCGGGTCCCTGTAGGAAGCCGGCAAACTCTGGGCGACTGCTGTTGACTGCGCGAACCTCACCTGTCAGAACCGTTCCAGGAGCACTCAAACTTGTCAAAGATGCAGTCGTTCTCATACAGGGAGCAAAGCTTGCTTCGAAGGTACTCGTGCACCTGAAGAAAATCACACGCGAGGTCAGAAAAGACTAAATGCAAGACGCCCCATGGCTCCCGGGCGCAGCCTCACCTGGTACGTCTCCACAGGCCTGCTCTCCATGTTGAGGTCCCACACCTTCACGGACAGGTAGTCTCTGGTCATCATGTACCGGCCGCTGTGACTGAAGTTCACATCCGAGATGGAGGAGATGATTTCTGAGAAGAAGGACCGACTGCTGGGATCTTCAGGCTCTTCAAAAACTGAAAAACAAAATGAGACCTTTTCAGCTTCTGTTTTAACAGTCGTGGAACGACTTGTTTAAAATCTAAGGACGACCTGGACTTCAGAGACCCCAGGACACTGGTGAACTACCCATACCAAAGAGCAACCACCGGTGAATGCGAACAGTTTGCTGACGGTCTTCTATTTCCACAGTTGGGAGTTTCAGACAAGAGGTTCTAGGGCTGTGGTGATCAACAAAAGGTGGGCAGCAGAAACAGACACCCTAAGCTCACCGACTCTGCATCCGGGTCTCCACAGGGGGGCCTAACAGGCTCCCGGGGGTGTTCTGAGGAGTCCTCTGGTCAAGACCCCAAGCTCTAACCACACACAGTCAGTACGCCCACGTCGCATGTCCTAGGAGCGTCCAGGCCCAGCCAGCAGTTAAAATGGCAGTGGCACCACATGACTCTGGTGCTCTGCAGCCCCGGAAAGGGGCCGGGCTCGGTGGGTTAACAGCTGGCGAGTCTGAGGGAGGAACTGCCATCTCCACCTGGAAAAGCTGTGGTCCTGACTCAACTCCTAGATGGCCCCACGTCAGGGTGGTCAGGAAAAAGGAGTTCTCTCTTCCATTTCAGTAGTCATGACCTGCTGTCACAAAACCCAAGTGCTGCTGAGGAGGGTTCTAGCTGCCTCCTGGGCAGAGGCCTCTCCCTCGCTCCTGCCTTCTCGACAGCAGCTAGCCAGGGCTATGCCTGCACCCGTCACAGAGGGAGGTGCCCCTGGGCCCCTGGGCCCCTGACACCGTGACATGCCTTCTGCCTGGGGAACTTTAGCACAGGAGACACGCGCGTCCTCTCCTTGAAGCTGCCTTAGCTTTTCTTAATGCAGGAACCTGCATTTGTCTGGCTCCGCATCTGAAGCTGTTTTTAAAGCAGACCAAAACAAGCACTCATTCAAATTAAGTACTTGGCTGACAAATAAAGCTACTCTGCAACCTGAAATGGTTTATTCAAGGGTGGTGTGTGGAAGACACAGGCCAGAGGGAGAAGACTTATTCTTTGCTGCGGGAATTCTACTCAGAGTACCGAATTTTTAAAAACATGCTTTAATCTAGAAAAAAAGCGACAGTAATGAGGCACATGCTTGAACGCCGGCCGCAGGCTCCTGCGCTGTCTGTACCGCGGGCTCATCTTCAGCGAGGAGCCGACACGCCCCGGCACGCTGACTGCACCAGGAGACATGGAGCCCATGGCGCCGGCACTCCGCAGTCTGCTCTTTCTCGGGCAGGACGGCTGTGCCTGTGGTGCCGCAGGACTGTCTCCAGGCGCAGGCTACAGACGCCATGACATACAGACCAGAGGCTTCTGTGAAGTTGTGCCAATTTCTTATGTCTTTTTAAAAAAAGGAAGGCTTTCCTCACCTCGAAGGCCTGGAAGAACCTAGGCCTCCGGGGACTAAAAGCCCAGCCTCTCATCTCACGACTGTTCACTGCACAGGGCTCACTCCGGGAGCTGGGCACTCACAGGTCGGCTGTGGCCGGGCAGCCTCAGCCCAGGGCCCAGTGCACACAGGCAGAGGTCACCAAGGCGCTTCGCTGGAACCTGATGAAGGCAGAAGCACCCTCACTACAACCCGAGTCTATGGAGGTGGACACACGGAAGCCAGTGGCAGCTGCTCTCCTTGTGAGCACGGCCCACGTGGGCCTCTCACAGAAGCAGTCCAGGGCCTGGCAAACCAGGCCCTCACGAGGTACAGGAGCACCACAGGGCACTCACAGGTGGGCCGCGGCCTGGCA